AATAATACGTGATGTTGGCAAAAAAGTAAAAGTGTATCCAGAATCACAAAGAGACAAAATTTTAAAACCTTCAGGTGTAGGTTTGTTTTTGATTCGAACGGTATAGACACTTCTTTCAGAAAATCGAATTACCATTTCATCTACAGAAACATTTGTACTTGGTATATAAAGTTGCTTCGAAACATTCCGGATGTGCGAAAGCAGCAGTTCCAATTTATCAAAATAATTTTTAATTAATGTAGCAGGAAAGGAAATGTGCAGATATCTCTTAATCTGCTCAAAACGTTTCAATGGCATTTGCTTTGAAATAGGATGAATAGGAAGCTTTCCATTTTCATTCCAATACTGGTCAAGAGAAGGTAATTTAAAAGTCCTTGATAAATAACCAAGGCAATCCAAATAAGAAGTTCTTTACGAGTAAAGTCTAACCAACGCCTACCAGTAGCACTAGCACCTTTCGATAATGCATAAAGATTTGTATTTTCAACAATAGTATCCAACATGTTTGTTGTAAAAAAAAGAAAAAAAAATTCAATCGGCTTAGAGACACCAATATCAAGATATGTTGATAGCCGAACAGATGCTTAATGAGGTTGTCTTAGGTGAATAAGTAGTTCAAATTCAGGTAGTGGTGGTAATTCTTGTTGTATGATTCTTGTTGATTTACGTTTTCTTTTGTAGGTATTTATCTTATATTCGTCCTCATCCTTATCCTCGTTTTCATTTTCTGAATCTGAATTGTTCAAGCATTGGCGAGATGCCAAGAATAGTATGTATTCTTCCTCATCAGAATCTGTTTTTGAACCTGAAGCCAATGTATTCGATGTAAAAAAAGACATACGGGTTTTATGATTAATTTTTTTTTTTAATTTTTTTTTTTATGATTATCAAGTTACACAAGATGCGATCTATAATCTACATACCATTATTACATATATTATGAAAATTCAATACACGTGATATCGAATTAAATGGATTCATTTTAGCTTAAAAATAGGGGGGGTATAACTTAAAAAATTTAAAAGCAATTATACAAAAATAGTAAAAAAAAAATTTTAACGTTCAAATTTGAACGCTAGACGATCTAAAGGATAATAATTGATAGATAGATAAATTAACATAAAAAATCTATATACACTATTATAATAATTATATCAGATTGCAAGAATTTTGCAGCTATTATAGTTAATAAAGAGGTAGCTATGCAGGTGGTAATTAGAGTAATCAATCAAAATTTCTATAGATTATTCTAATTCATTATGTTGCATATTTACTAAACCTTATTACATCTGATATTATTAATATTAAGTGAACAAAATAAATCTTAAGTGATTATTAAAAAAATAATTATATTTTTGTTCTTTAATGTAACATTTAATGATGAACTTAAACATAATCTAATTAGTGAAAGTAGTCTTAAGACTTCAGTTAAAACTCAGTAATTTCTGAGATTGTATTGAGCCAATTTTAAGATGTAAAACTGTAATTCAACAAGTAATTATTTATTTTGTATTTTATTCTTTTATTTTATTTTTAAAGTATATATAATTTTATTAATTATAATATATTTACTAATAATTGTATTATTTGTTTTACTATTTTAAGACATTTAAACAACATTCTGATATATTTAGATATATTAATACTATAAAAATAATTATATATAATCACTAATTTTGGATTGATGTTGAAATTTTAAGAAATATTCTTGTATCTGTGAAACAAGTTATAAAAGGAGTTAAATACAAAACTTAACTTTAGGATCAGTATATGTTAAATTATTAAAAATGGTAAAAGCTATAAAGGAAATTCTAAACATTATATTAAATTTAGAGTTTAAAAGAAATTGTATTAATATTTACAATAAATGATGGGTATAATTTGATTCAAAGCTTTTTATTCCTGGATATTTTTTTAGCAACATGTTATTAATAAGTTTAATTGCATCCTTAGGAAACATTTGCATCCTTCATTCCGTTGGTTATCCTCAAATAAATCCTCGAAAGTAATTACTATCCATGCAATACAACATACGAAAAATAGTCAAAAAGGAATTTCAGAAAGTGCATTCCTTTATTTAAATTATAAGACCTTTGCATATATATCTTAATATTTGTGAACCTGCTTTTATGATGTTTTTTAATTCTTCATACAAATATAGTTGACTATTAATGATAAAATGACTTGCATAAATAAAGATATTTAATTTTTATATACAATATAACTGGAACTTTATTCGGTTTCTGAATCATCTATAATCTTATTTACGTCTTCATTATACTCCACAAAAATTCTTTTACCATATTCTAAATATATAAAATCATAATTCATTAATAAAATTTAAAATTAATATGAACGAAAATAAATGATTACCTGGTATGGAGACAACCAAATATTTAATAACCCAAGTTCCTTTATCATTCTAAATTAACAACACAAAATAAATAAAATCGTTCAATAAAAAACCTTTTCAATAAAACCTTTTAAACTTACCTTAATCATATCAAGCAAAGCTATACCATGTGTTATAGTACCTTCAAGGTAAATTTGCATGAATTTATGTGGTGTTCCATCAGTATTAATTACTTCTTGAAATCTTTATAAAAGTTAAATTAAAAGTTCAGTCATGCCATTTTGACAAATAAAAATGTTTATAGTTTTAGAGATGCAGATAAATGTAACTTTACCGAACCAAACGATTACGTCGCCTTCTGCTTGAACTTGGAGCTCCATGACCTTTTATCGGCAAACCTAAAATTTTTTGACACTAGAATTCGAATAGTGTGAAAAGAAACCCTTTTGTTGATATATCTGATCAGATCGATTTTTGAATTTTTACCTCAGAATTTGATCGAATTTTCTCTAAAGTCTCATTAAAGACTCTAGTTGAACCTGATGAACTAAATAATTCCTTTAAAATAAAATATATGATTACTCCTTGAAATGGTTCGAAAAATTTGTGTTAATCACAATTCTCATTTTATCGAAGAAATATCTTATTAAAAATTTTACATACCACAAACACCAATTCCAATAGCTATTACACCGACGTTTGTTGTAACTTTAGCTGCTCCAACAACTTTATTTCATTTAAACAAGGAAAAAATAAATGTCCATTCTAGAGGGTAAATAAAAAAAAATAAAAGATATATAAATACCCTTTTGACCTATAGTCATTTCACTCCATTCTTTAGTCTTTTTCCTTTCAATTATACTTTTAGACCCTGTATTATTCCTACGCGAGGGATTTGTATTCAATGTACTACTAGTAGTATTATATTTTCTTCTATTTAAAAAAGATTTTTCGGCATTATTTTTATTCGATAAATTAGGATTTAATTTAGTACTAGTCGTTACAAAAGGTTTCCTTATTATTAAAATGGATTTGTTCTGAAATGAATGCAAACGTCTAATTCCAAACGGTCGTATTGAATGTGTGATTTGAAGACGTAAAATATTAAAATTCATTGTCATTTCATTGCGGAAGACTTTTTTTGAAATTTTTTATCTAAATATTTGATGTGATTAACCAATCATCAATCAAAGTCATTCTAATATAAAAAAAAACCAAGAACCTTTTCTTCCGTCAAGCCTTATTTATTTATGAATATGACTGATAATCAAATTTTTAAAGAATTTGAAAATTATGATTTTGAAAATGACGCTACTTTTCAGGTAATGATTAATCAAAATTTCTCGATGATTTTTTAAAAATAAGGAGGTAAATTGCCTTTTATTTACAATAATTTCAGTCAGGTTTACCCTCAATTCTTAATTCATATCAAGGCAAGCCAAAAGAAGAAATAAATATTCTCCAAGAAAAGGCTAAATGGTTTTATTATTCAAAGTAAGGTAATTTTTAAAGGTGTATATAATTAAGGTGTTAATTATATTTATTGAGCCGAGTTAAATTTGTTGTTTTAGAGTTATTCAAGAATTTGATTACAATGATTATTTAGTGTGGAAAACGAATATAAACAAATCCCATCTTGAAGGTAACCAAAGTAATATTTCGTCATCTTCTGTCATGTTACCAACCGATTCCCAAGAGAGTTCAACAAAGGATGATAACAAAAGTGCGCGACCTGAACAAGCTACAACGGGTAAGCAAAACTAATCTTACCGTTTATTTTCTCGATCGCATATTCGCTCATATTACGTGTGTTTAATTAATAGACAACGTGCAATATCCGCAATCATTCCAACAAGTGGTTGAAATGTTAGCTACGGGACAACAGATACCAGGTAACAACAACTCCTCTGTTGTAAAAATCTATAATCAAAATTTAATAATGGTTTTTTGATGGAATTATATAGGAATCAAGCAAATTCCTAATGAGTTAAACAAGGGAACCCCATCGAATCCCACTATCAAACCACGTCCAAAACCATGGGAGAAAAATCATATGAATAATGAGTCTAAATAATTCATCCGTATATATTTTTAGAACTTTATTTTTTATTTTTATATATATATATATATATATATTCCTACAAGTCCTTTGATAATCTTTCTTGATCCATCAAATACACCCCATTGACGTTTGTTTTGGATTCCACTAGTATCCATTTTATCATTTCTAAATCAAATCCATATTCTGCTATCATACTCTTTGCTGTCTCATTCTCTTCTAAATTATTTGACAATGTCGTTGTTTCTTCGAAATTGTCATTTACTTTCTCCAAGTAGTCTATTAAGTATTCAATTTCTCGTTTCTCGTGCGTAAAACGCGAATTAATATAACTCACTGAAGTTGCCCATGGCGTTATTAACATTAATTCATAAGCGCGTTTAATGCAAATTAGGGCAAGTTTTGTTATAATTGTGCTTTGAAAAATTCCTTGAGTTGTTATTTTCATAATATCTGTTGTGAAATCATCTTTGGATTGTGCAAAATGGTAATAACAGTAAAGAAATGTATGACTCATTTCCTTCCATATTTTATAATCATTATTTCGAATCTGTAAATATTTTATATAATAATGTATTGAATCTATAAAAATTCGAAATAGAATTAACATTGAAATTTATAATTATTAAAAATAAATTTAATAGACCGTACCTGCATAACGGCCTCCTTTTGCATAAATCATCCCTCTTAACCGCATATGCCCTGGTTCATTCGATACCTAACATGTAAACACACATATCATTATAATAGAGTATAATTTGATTACGATAAAAAACTTTCTCTAAGCCACTTGCCAATTTGTCAATGAATTTAACGGCTAATTTGACATTTTTTAATTGTAATGCACTTCTTGAAGCTATCTCCAATATTTCACGAGGGTTATTTAATCTATTTGGATTATGAATTTTGATTTCTTTTTGATCTGAAAGGTTATTACTTTGTTCAACAAATTCAATGTACTCAAGTGATAAACGTAAAGATTCTTCAAATTTTCGATGAAAATAAAGATGTTCAATCGATTGTTTTACTTGCGTAGGACCTCCTTTTGAGCGAAGGAGTATAGGTATTGACGTAGTTGTATGGAACCACTATATATAATGATAATGAGTTAGAATAGTTCCAAAGTAGGTATTTAAATAGAAATAATTATATACTCCATCGTAATCATGCTTAGGTATATATTTGAGGTTTTCATTTTGTAACGCTTGATCTTTCTGAGGCGTAACCTTTTCAGTTTTCTTCGTATCTTGTTCTTCAAAGTCGAAATTAAAAAGGTCTGAAAACGGGTCATTGTTAGCATCCATTTTTTAAAAATTGCAGATGTTTTTTTCCATATATGTTATTGCTAAATATGGAAATTGTAATTAGATTGTAGTAGACAATAAAAGTGAAATTATATAATTATGGATGATCGACATTTGATACCTGTCCTATATTTTGATATATATATATTGATGGATAGTTTTTTTGTTTCGTCTCCAGCAAAGTTCGCTTTAACTAGCACACCTGAATCCGAACAGGATGCACGTATCCCTAGAAGAACACAAACACCAATTCTTGAATCTTATCCAAATAACTTAGCACAATCTACTGCACTTTACGGTTCTGATTCAAATTTATCTCTTCGTATCACGGCTGGACCCGCAGAATCTCCACCTACCACGCAAAACGTTGCGGGTGATCCCTTAAATTTGGGTCCAATACGGAAAACAGAGGAGGAAATTCGACAGACCTCCAAAAGAATCCAAAGTTTCTATAGAGATCAAAATAAAACTATTGATAGGTATCTAAGCTCAATTGATAATATACAAAGCTCCAAAGATACGTTGAACAACTTGCTAAGAGTAAATATTTATCTTTTACTTTGAAATTTGCCAATATTATTCTTTATATTAACATAAAATTTTTTTTGCAATTAAAAAGCTTAAAATTGCTGTCAATGGTTCTTTAGCAGCTAATATAATTTTATTTGGACTTCAAGTATATGCTGCCGTTTCTTCAGGTTCCCTGTCACTATTTGCAACTATGGCCGATTCTTTTATGGATTTATTGTCGAATAGTATTTTATTATTTGCTGGTAGAATAGCTAATGACAAAAACATTTTACAATATCCAACTGTATGCGAGTTTTACATATAAGTATGATATATATATATTTTTTTTTCCTTAAAAGCAATAAAACTGAACTATGATTGTTTAATTTTAATTTTTAGGGAAAATCGCGAATGGAAACTGCTGGAATCATAGTATTTTCTTCACTCATGTGTACGGTTTCTATTGAATTAATTGTAAGTTATTAATACTATTTGATTAATAATGCTTATTAGTCAGTTAACATACAAATGCATGTCAATAGATAGAAGCCATTAAAGCACTCATTGGACATGAACGCAAACTAGATATTAATCCGTTAGCTTTTGCCTGTATTGCTGTTGCATTAGGTATACATATGATATTTTAATAGTCACATCTTCAACTCTCTATCATAGCTATAATATTCACATTTCTTTCTGACAATTTCATAGGCACAAAGTTTATACTTTTTATCTATTGTTTCTTTCAACGTAACTTTCCTATTGCTCGAATTCTTGGTCAAGATCATCGAAATGATTTAATGATTAATTCTTTTGGTTTGACTATGTCATTATTGTCTGGATATTTAACTTGGTGGATAGATCCTATTGGCGCTATTATTATAGCATTATTGATTCTCAGGAGTTGGACAACCACCGCTTATGGTAATCAAATTTGTGTTATTAAAGATAAAATTATGGTAATTTCTCGTTAACATAAAAGATTTCAATTTATTAGAGCAAATTCAATTAATTGTTGGAAAAAGTGCAGAACCTGAATTTTTAAACCGTGCAACTTATATTGGTGAGAATCTCAAGCCTTTTTTATTTCTTCTTTTACATCGCACTTCGATCATTTAACTTCAGCATACTTAATTTCTGATAATAGCATTAACGCATCATCCAAAAGTTCTTCAAGTTGATACCTGTCGAGCTTATCATGCTGGAAATAATCTTTTTGTAGAAGTTGACATCGTTATGGATCGTGAAACCCCACTTTGGGAAAGTCATGATATCGGTGAAAGCCTTCAAATTAAGTTAGAAAAACTAATAAATGTTGAAAGAGCATTTGTGCATGTAGATTATGAGACAAGTCACAAACCAGAGCACCATAAAGAAGAATAACTTACTGTAATATATTCATTTTTAATTACGTAAATAATTTTTTTTTTTAAAGTAATGAAATATCTTTATTTTATTTCGTGTCTTTAAACCTATTTGTCACCTTATTTGTCAAATGTATAATTTCGGGCGTGGGTGAAAAACTTGGTGGTAATACTGAAGCATCCTTAGGGGGTGTAGACCTTTATCCTAAACCGGGGGTGTATAATAAGATCTGATATATTAATAAGAGTATTTTTTTTTTTATTTTCTTATTTTTTTTACAGTTTACTTCTTTTACTATTCCATTTTCTGTCTGTAAATTTCAATTAGAAAAGTATGTTATTTCTTTTTTTACAGTTTTTTTTATTTTATTTATTTTTATTCTGTGGTTAAACCAATTTTTAAATACAAAATATACCAAAATATTTTTTATTGAAAATTTAAAATAAAAATGTGATAAAGAAATAAGTATTGTTAAGATAGTTTATTGTTATGGCAATTGCTTTATTGTTATAGATGCTTACAACTGTTATATTTTAATAGTAAAAGAAATAGTAAAATGTAAATTATGTATATAATAAGTTGTTTTTGTTCAATAAATAATCATTTTTAACAAAATAATGAATTATATTTTATTTAATAATAAATCTTCTAAATGAAAATAAGATTGCGAAAAATATTTTTTTTCATTAAATTCGTTTTTAAGTTGAGTATTTCTTCATTTTATTTTTCTTTGAAAATATCACGAAAATTCTAAAATATGTTATACAAATAAATCAGGCTAATAAAACTCATCAAAGCTTAATTATACACTTCAATTTAGGATAAGAGTCTGCACTCTTACCTTAGATTAAGGATACCCATAATACTAAGATAAATTCTGAGA